AGCTGGAGTCATCATTGTTTGTGATGCATCCCACCACCGCTGTATCATCTACAAACTTTACAATGTGACAGCCTGGATGGGTAGCTGCACAATCATACATGAGCAGAGTAAACAGGAGGGGGCTCAACACACATCCCTGAGGAGAGCCAGTGCTGAGGGTTATGGTGGAGGAGGAGGGATTGTGGATCCTCACTAACTGTGGTCTGTTTGTTAAAAAGTCTAGTACCCAGTTGCAAATGGAAGGGCTTAGTCCTAGTGTGGATAGTTTGTCCATCAGGGTTTTGGGGATCATGGTGTTGAAGGCAGATGTGAAGTCCACAAAGAGCATACGGACGTAAGAGTTTTTCTGCTCCAGGTGGTTGAGCGCAGTGTGGACCACAGAAGAGATGGCATCCTCTGTTGATCGGTTCTCACGGTATGCATACTGATGAGGGTCCTCGTTGATGTTGATGGTTGTTTTGATGCGAGTCATGACCAGTTTTTCGAAGCATTTAGCGACTATCGGGGTGAGGGCCACTGGCCGATAGTCATTCAGACCAGTCACTGTAGAGCTTTTTGGGACTGGGATGATGGTGGCAGTCTTCAGGCAGGTGGGAACTGTCTCCAGGGTAAGTGAGGTGTTAAAGATGTCTGCCAGCACCTCACAGAGCTGATCAGCACATTCCTTCAACACTTTTCCAGGGATGTTGTCTGGGCCAGTTGCCTTGTGCGGATTAATCCTCCTGAAGGTACTCCTTACTTCTGCTGAGGTCACGCTGAGATGCTCTTCATCCGGTGGTGAGGTGAGTCTGGTGCTGGGTGGTCTGTTCGGGTCTTCAAAGAGTGCATAAAACTTGCTGAGGGCATCAGGCAGAGATGGGTCTTTGGGGCATTGTTCGCTCCTTCCTTTATAATCTGTTATGCACTTAATGCCCCTCCACATGCTCCGAGGGTCTTGTGAGATGAATTGACCCTCGATCCTCTTTGCATATGTGCCCTTGGCCCTCTTCATACCGGCAACCAGCTTTTTTCTTGTCCTACTCAGCTCCTCTGAGTTTCCAGACCTGAAGGTAGTGTTCCTGGTTTCCAGCAGGGTACGCACCTCTGCATTCAGCCAAGGTTTTCTGTTTGGGTAGCATTTAACATTTCTGATAGTGGAGACGGTGTCAGTACATGTACTAATGTAACCCAAAACTGAGGACGTGTATTGGTCAAGATCAAGCGAACCTCCATTTTCAGCAGCTTCTCTGAAAACCTGCCAGTCTGTTCGGTCAAAACAATCTCTCAGTATGGGGCCACTGTCCTGGATCCAGCATTTAACTTTCTTTTGTACCGGTCTGGAGCGTCTCAGCGGGGGCATGTAAGCAGGAGCCAGGAAGATTGAGATGTGGTCTGACAGTCCTAGGTGGGGGCTTTGTATGCATCTTTTACGTTCGTGTAAACACGGTCCAGCGTGTGGTCTCCACGTGTTGGAATCGCCACATGTTGATTAAAGCTTGGGAGACAGTCCTTTAGATTCACGTGATTAAAGTCTCCAGCTACCACGTAAAGAGCCTCGGGTGTTTGTTCTGCAGCGAGCTGATGATATCATGAAGCTCTTGCAGTGATTCATTAGCATTAGCATCTGGAGGAATGTAGACGACAGAGATGAAAGTCACAGTGAACTCTCGGGGTAGATAATGTGGCCGACATTTCACTGTTATTTGCTCCAAAGCCTTCGAGCATGAGCTATTTACAACAGTACAGTTCGTGGACCAACTTTTACTCACGTAAATGCACACTCCGCCTCCCCGTGATTTCCCCGTTAGCTCGCTGCAGCGGTCCGATCGAAAAAAGAGTCTGTCATCCAGCTGGAAGACTGTGTCCGGCGTTTCGCTTGTAATCCACGTTTCCGTGAGGCAAAGTACCGCACACTTCTTCATCTCTTCTGAGTCGCCCGCTCTCAGACGAAGTAAATCCATCTTGTTGTCCAATGAGCGGACATTCGACAGAAAGAGAGACGGCATGGGGAGTTTACCGGCTTTAGCGTTAGCTCGTAGCCTCACCATAACCCCCGCCCGGCATCCTCTCCTCTTAAGCCGGGAGCAGCGCTTCCTCTTCTGCCCGCTGGAACGCCTCTTCTGCTGCTTCCAGGTAGATGACTTTAAGATCTGCATTCTGCCGAGCGTAGTTTTGAGTTTGTTGCTGATTTCTGCTATATTACGTGGCAAATCCACTTCTATTCTCATCTGTTCGGTTCGGCTATAGTTCACACGCATAAATCGCGCGGAGTCAGGCACAGAGTCAATATCAAAACTTCTAAAAACTGGGATGGTACTGGGAGCTTGTAAAGCTGCAACTGCTCTGAGCGCAGCCATTTTGGATAGCTTTCATCATGGCATTATCTCCCTTGTTTCCTGTGGACGGGAGGTCATGCGCGTGAACAAACATCACCCCCCTGTGGTCATGGGGGACCACTAACACAGGTGAGGACGTCGGTCCATGAGCAAAAGTTAGGATGCCCTTGATTTTTTGTGTGAAATCTTTAAATCTTTTAATCTTTAAATCTTTTTATCTGTTACTGCTGTTGATACACTGGAATTTCCCATTCGTGTGACAATAAAGGCTGTTTCTATCCTATTAGTTTTAGCTGTTTGCGCAGCTGAAAGAGGACTTTAAGGTCTGGATTGGAATCCAGGTCGACTTCGGACGGAGTGTTTTTGTCTGGGTCAGTCAAGTACAGTATCATCGAGTTTAAGTTTGCAAGACTCCAGCAAGACTGCAGTCCCAGCCAGAACTCCAAACAGACTTTCAGTAAGAACTGAAAGTTCCTGTACGACTCGCCGTAAGACTGAGTCTTCCAGTAAGACTGAGTCTTCCAGTAAGACTGAGTCTCATCCTAGACTGAAAGTTCCAGGAAGACTCGTAAGACTTAAAGTTCCAGGAAGACAGAATAGTTCCAAGAAGTGTTGACTTTTAAAGGGTATCCACTTCCTGTCACTTGGTACTTCCTGATTGGTTAACACAACCAGCAGGGGTGTAGTTTTTGTGATGTCAGAGGGTTATTAGAAGTCAACAATACTGTTTCACAGTTGATTTAAATGAGTGGTTTACTTCAACATTAGAAATGGTATGAACTAAACACACTTTTTATTATCAAGATATTGTAAAATAGTAATGATAATATAAAAAGAAGAGTGTTCTTTCAATTGATTAATTCAGGATACAATTAAATAGTCTCTTGATGAGATAATTGATGAGATAGGGGGGAGTGGTGGTGCAGAGGTTAGAGAGGTGGGCTTGTGATCCGAAGATCGCCGGTTCACGCCCCGGCCCCGACTGCATCAAAATTGTGGGTGGGGTAGGTGAAACACTCACACTTGCCCCCACCCTCATTCGCCCCACTCTGGGCCCATGAGCAAGGCCCTTAACCCCCACCATGTGCTCCCTAAAAAACAGGTCTCTCTTGAAAATGAGTTCTCGTAGCTCAATGAGACTAACCTGGATAAATAAAGGCTAAATGAAAAAAAAAAAAATTGTATTTCTGGATTAAAATCAATGAAATAACAGTTCCTGTGCCCTGAAGGTCTTCAGAGACAGATTGATGTCGGAGGTCTAGTTCACTACAACCTCATGTACCACATGTGATGTGAATAACAATAAAGATCCTTGAATTTATCTGAACGCGGCAGTGTGCGACTGGAGGCAGCAATGTGTGACTGGAGGTGACAGTGTTTGACAAGAGATGGCACAGTTTTGTAACTGGATGTGGCAGTGTGAGGCTGGAGGTGGCAGTGTCACACCGGTGGCGGCAGTGTTTTAACTGGATGAGGCAGTGTTTTAACTGGAAGCGGCATTATGCAACTGGAGGTGGCAGTGGGAGACTGGAGGTGGCAGTGTGAGACTGGATGCGGCAGTGTGAGACTGGAGGTGGCAGTTAGAGACTGGAGGTGGCTGTTTTAGACTGGAGGCGGCAGTCTGAGACTTAAGGCGGCAGTGTGAGACTGGAGGCGGCAGTGTGAGACTGGAGGCGGCAGTGTGAGACTGGAGGTGGCAGTTTTAGACTGGAGGCGGCAGTGTGAGACTAGAGGCGGCAGTGTGAGACTGGAGGTGGCAGTGAGCAACTGGAGGCGGCAGTGAGCAACTGGAGGCGGCAGTGTGAAACTGGAGGTGGCAGTGTGCGACTGGAGGCGGCAGTGTGAGACTGGAGGTGGCAGTGTGAGACTGGAGGCGGCAGTGAGCGACTGGAGGCGGCAGTG